TTATTATTATTTCTCAAACATATATATCTTTCTATGTCAATAACCCCATAAAATATTCTTCAATACACGAACAATTTAATTCCGAATAATACAAAGTTTTCACTTTAAATATTTCTAATAAATGCTTATGGTGGCTAGCCGAGTAGTGCTAGCAAGTCCTTGGATTTCAGTGCATTCTGCTTGTCGATGTTATGGCGTACGAATAAGATAAGAGGCCAAATAATTATTAATCTGTTGAATGTTTCTGCCGATTAGAGTTATTTTGAAATTATTGGAGCTAATATCTTGAAATTATTGTGGTTTTAGGTTACGAGTAAAACAATTTCACCGGGGCTTCAGCGTGTGAATGATTTAAAATTCATTAAAAAAGCAGATAATCTTTCATAAGTTAAATGTCAATATGAACACAATATTTCCTGGTAAAAATTTTCTGATTAGCCGGTTGAAATGCAGCTTTCGGTTACTCATTGCACTTGAAGACTAAAAAGTTTTTGGGACCTACAAGACTAGAGCGCTGCGTCAGCATAGAAAAAATTTGGTCTCGTAAACGTGCAACGATTCAAATTTTTTGCTTATATATTGAACCTTTATAACATAACATAACCTACAGTGATGTCGGTGCTGAAGAGTAGACCTGATGTTCTTAGGTACACAGGCATCAACTGCAGACATAACCGTTTCTATGAAATATGACAATCAATCAGCCGCATTCATGTCCTTAATACAGTCCTAAATATTCGCCGCATTCACTGCTTCACGGAGTTTATCATAGTCGCCTTTCAAACGTTCACTCTTCCGAAGCGCGGAATTTTTCTCTACAAAAACTTACTTGTACAGACTGCGGATTTTCCAAGCTTTCTCGCTGCCTTCAGTACGCTCCAAACCTGCTTTAGAGTCAACATCAGAGCAGCATGCATCCTTTGAGCGTAGCCTCTTGCACGACATAATATCAACCGGTGTGCTTAGTGCCTTCTTGCTGTAACAGTCTGCAACAAATGCAGCGTCAGCCATCACTCGGTCTTTCGCATCAAATGCGGTACCTTCGGGAATACCTACCAAAGCACACAAGGTTGCAATTTCTACGTTCTCTATCAAGTAATTCATGGGAGCTTTCGCCAGCAACTTCAGATAAATCAGCTCTTTTGTTCTTTAATTTAATTTTTTTCTGTATTTTTCAGCTCAGCTTTCACTTCAGTCAGCTCATTTCACATCGAGCTCAATTTTTCACTCAGCGAGCGCACCATCTCACTATTTGCGATCTGGACAGAGAGTACTGTGATCCCAACATCTTCAATTATTACCACTCACCCCTTAAAAAAAAATTTCCAACCTGAATATTTTTTTTATATTTGTTTTGAAATTCTTTGTATTTATTCTTCGTCATATTAGGTAACATTAGGGTTCGTTGAGTATAACATTGTCCCACGGCTAGATTTTTTTGTGCTGTAGTGTAACCATGTGATGAGTTATTAACCAATTTCATGCATGACTATGTAGGTAGCACCAATGGCTTGATTGTTGATTAAGTTTGGGTTTAATTCAAATATTCTCGACCATTGCAATGCGCCTTCATATTTTTGCTCCATCTATTTGTTCCCATTAAAAATTTTACTTGTAATAACTAATTGGAGGGCTAATTGCACATCTGAGGTAACCCCGTAAAATCGGCGCCTGAGCGCCAATGCAGGAACAATTGAGGCAAGGAGTTACGGGCGCCGGTTTGTGAGCAATTGTGAGCTTCAGTGCGTGTAGAGTGCGGAATCAAAACTGAGTTATCTATGTGTCGGTTAGCTCGTAGTAGCTGCTACGAGCTACCAGACGCATGCATAATTGAGTTCTGATGCCGCACTCTAAGCGTTCTGACGCCTTAAATTGCCCACAAACCGGCGCCCGTAACTCCTTGCCTCACTTGTTCCTGCATAGGGGCTCAGGCGCCGATTTTGCGGGGTTACCTCAGATGTGCAATTAGCCCTCCAATTATTGGAGAGCTAGTAGAAGTCAAATAATAATATTATATAATGAATTTTACAAATATTTTCGGTGTATTAAGACTGTTAGCTTCATTATTTACAAAATATTGATATTTTACGATTACATTACGACTTTCTCCCAGAATTAGAGTAACTTTGGCCTGAACATTTAATGAAACAAATCATGATAATAACAACGAAGCTTCGAAGAAGAAAAACAAAACCAGGTGTAACTCTTCTTCATACGTAGATGATGTTGAGATGATAGTAATGTCTAATGTGAAAGGCGAAACGTTTTCGATATAGAAGAAATATTAAGAGAATAAGCAGGGATATGCCTATTCACAGGCCTCTAATAAGAACCCAAATTGAGTTGATACTTGAAGACTTCGCTTTATTCTTTATTCACACAGGAGCATACAAAAAAATCCTTACCTATAAAAAATAACGAAAATTTAGAGAAAAAATACAAAATGCTTCCATGTGAATGCCCATATAAGCTAAAAAGCTTCACAGGCGCTATTGATAACTTCGGGGGATATTAAATATAGTGGACTGAAATACTACTCGGGAAAAATTATCAGGCTATTCGATGAAGGAACTTTAGTTAATTGCATATAAAAGTGACTGGAGTTATAGCGCTGGCCAGAAATAAAATTGCTTGACCTATGATTGGGCGGATGTTTTTCAGAAGATAAATTGTCCAGAAATATCTCCAGAGAGGAACCGGAATAAGACAATTATTGTAATGTAAAATTAATTTTTGTAACATAATATGACAATTATGTGAATGTAACAGAATAAGACAATTATTTGCGATGTAAAATTATTTTTTCTCCGCACTTAACAATACAATGTTTTCCACTAAGTTGACTTTTGTCTAAATTTTTACCTTTCTTTATCTTCTTGGAATAAAAAAGGGAAAAAATCTGCGGGTAATATCTAACCCAATAAATATTCAACATAGGTTTCATTACGGTATAAAAATATGGTAAAGAGTTTTTATATATTAAAGGTACTTTTGGCCCAAATATTCAAAATAAATAATGATAATATTGGAAAGTGATTGTGAGATGGCAATATGGTTTTAATTCAAGTGTCAAAAGTTTTTTAACACATTTAGATACATTCAAACTAATATACTCAATGCCATGAGATATTGAGCTGATAAAACTGTAAAAAGATATAACTCAGTACTCACTGCAGTGAGTGACAGAGAGCGCATTTTCTCGTCGACGAAAACTTGAGGTCACGGACAGACGGACGGACAGACAGACAGACGGACAGACAGACAGACAGACGACGGACGGACATGGCGAGCACAATTAATAGTGCATTTTTTCCATGAATGAGAAAATGTGCTAAAAAGTTAAATTTTTTACCAATGCTACCCCATCTGACTGTAACCGTAATAATGCACCGCCTTTAAGTAAACTTGACTGCTAAATTTACTCTGGCGTAAATGTCAAGTTAGCTCGATTAAATGATTTAGTTCTCAAGATGAAACTGTGCTAAGTGAGTGATTGTTGTGGGGCGTGAAAAAAGGTCTGAAGGATATCTAAGAAATTTATTACGACATTTAGCGAAAAATTGATGACAAAGCGTGCGAATGGCGAGATACTACTGTGCTTCGTTTCTAGGAAATTTGTTGAGATATCTCAGAGCTCAGGAGATGGAAGGTACATACCGTAAGTAATTTTTTCTGATATCAAGAGTTGGAGGACACCTGATGTTTCTCTCATCAAGTGTTACGAGGCACAAAATATCATAATTTCGGATTTTTTTTACTAATGCTGCATGGTATATTTGAAAACTTAGGATCACAATTTGCTTGTTTCACCGTGCCGATATTCGACGGATATGTCAGTGGGAAGAATCGCACATCTCGAATCTGAGAACAAACACTAAAAATCGAAAGTTTTTTGTTTGTACGCTTGACAAATCGTTTGGTAAACTTCTTCTCAATTCTCAACATAAATAATATAATTTATTTTACGTGAATAAACTTGGTTAGCCTTCAACTCTTGCATGACAATAACATTTATCTGATGGCCGTGGCAAATAACAGATGCGTCAACGTATCTTGTAATCGCGCGTCTGGCCAATGACTCGCGCTCGACGATTCGTAGAATACCAGGCCTCAATCACAAGGCCATATCATGGAGACATCGTGACGCCTGGTGCCATCAAACTTCATTTTATCACATGCTCACTTCACATTTATCACATGCTAAAAAAATTCATTCTATAACATTTGTCACTGTAAAAACTTAGTGAACGGCGTTTCAATATTTCTAAATTGAGAAAGGGTAGGAGAGATGCTTCGTAGTACGAAATATATTTCAAAAGCTTTCAACAATCAACTTTTTTATGTTTCAGCAATGCAAATCGAATGTCTTTTGAAAGATGAAAAAAACATTATTACCATAATAGTTTCGAACGTAGTAAGTTGTTTCTGGAAATGCAAATAATTTTTGGAATGCATTTGTCTTTCCTGTAAATGTGTCGAATTGGCTCGCTCTGTGCAAGCCCATTTCCAATGGGTTGTTTGATATTGAATTCATTGGTGAGTATATGGAATGATTGGTAGAAAACAAGCTTCATCTGAACTTTCATATTTTTAGGAATATGTCGTTCAATTGTCATTTATTAAGTCTGTTTCAAAACCCTTAACGGCAGAAAAATTCTGGCATAAAAAAATAATATAATTAAATGAAGAGATTAGATGCATATCTGAAAACATTAAAGGATCTCTGGTATTGGAAACGATATTGAAAATCTTCCGGTTAACCTACAAAAGAAGTCGAAGAAGTGAAAAATGTTCCTTCATTCCTTTCTGGTGCAAAGAATTATGTATTCTTCACAAAGTATTGAATATTTTTCAAGTCATATACAGTTTTTATGCAACTTGCCTTTGAGCGTAGTTGCATTATCGAGTCGCACACGTGCATCTCGTCTTATCAAAAAAATTGCGACCAAAGAGAGATAAGCTCTCCTCAAATACTATCGTTCTTCAGAGCAACTCCTCACTCTATTCGATCATCTCTTCACCATCACAACCAACGAGATGGCGTTGAAATTACTATCAGTCATTCTTTTCGTCGCGGTGCTGAGCATCGACTTCGATGCCTGTGTTGGACAAAGCAACACCAACTTTTATTTCACGTTCGATGACGATTTGCAAGGACTAACGGTGCACAGGGGCACCTGGAAATGGTCTGACATGGCAAGCATGCAGTACAAAATACCTCCTGGTAAAGATGGCTTCGCAGTTTACGACACCCCTCGTGAAGGGGATGAGCTATACTCCGAGTATATTCCACTGGATTACGGCTTGAATTACACCATCACTTTCTTCTTCAACTCGAAGTATGAGCAGGGAACCACGTTTGCTCTACACAAACTCTCCCGTAATGGCGATTACCTTCAACTCATTGCCGACTACACTTATCTCTCCAGCCCCCTCAACAAGGACTGGATTACCGTCTCTGGATATGTGCCACCAGAATCTCACGCTTTGGTAAGAAGGGATAATTTTATACGAATCGTATCTATCAATAACCTTAGTGTTATTTAATGTTTTAAAATTGTGCAATGAATTATTCAACTAGTAACGGCTGTAAGATTTTCATCTTCATTCGACTTGCATTCTGATCATACATTGGGTGATTTGCTCTTGGTGGGAGGAACTTTGTACGAAATTATCTGATCGGTGTTGATCAAACTAAAATAATCAAAACTTTGGGCCGATCTGTTAAGTTTCCGATCTGGGATCTTTGCGTTCTTAAAATTTCTACCTTGTGTAACCTTCATTAATGTTGGGATTGGAAGTGCGCATTTTTATTGGACTCATCATTTTACTAATATTCGGAGCAACTACATGGCCTGTTGCTACTTTTCTTCTATCACTTTACATTTAGGCTGACTTGCAAATTTTGGAGTCCGTTCATATTTTTAAACAAAAGCCTACTCTAAATGCCTCCAACAGTTCATATCCCCTCGAAATTTTGTATAGATACGTTATATGTACTTTATATTTACTGCTCATATTTACTTCATTCTTATTTGTTTTCAGATGACGATTTATGTTTTAAGATCTTCAAAGTCTTTTAAGTGTTATTTTTCGTACTTTTGTTTATTTATTCCTGAATTTTAGGTTTTGAACTGACGTTGGAGCTGGACTCCGAAGAGTTTTCCATTATAAGAAATGGTGAATTTTCTGGCTATTTTCTTTGCTTTTAAATTCTTGACAAGTAATCTGTTACAGCAAACTATGTTGGAAGTTCATAACAAGAAGGCTTTTCAATAGATTTTTTTTAAGTCATAAATTCCTAAGAACGGATCACTCGAAATGTACCAGCAAAGAATTACGTTTCCGTTTAATACTTCGCTTCTGCTAACCGAAAGAACTTTAGAGATATTTCTCAAAATTCAAAGTATTCATTCATAAATGCAGGCAATATATAATTTAAACTTGAAATATCAGACTGATATTTCAACGACTTCAATATTTAGTCGAACGATTCGTAATATTTAGTCAATATATATTTCCTAGAGTTCAGTTCACTCATATTTTCTTACTCTATGACCAACCAATAATAAATACAACTAATAGGAGTTGTTCATAAAAGAACTTAACCTATTTATTTCTTGTATTGCTGGTTTTACCGGAATATATAAAAACCTGATTAAATTGTTATTCTTCCTGCAGTTCGCGTTATTCTGCCAGTCTGAATATTCTAACCCCAGCGGCATCAATGGTTACCTCTGGGGTTGTGCTGTGGACTCAATGAACCTCATCACAGGACCTGACCCAACCTCTACCGCACCCCCCACCACAACCACTACAACTCCCACTACAACCACTACGACTCCTACTACTACTACGACAACAACCACAACTACAACAACACCCACAACTACAACAACTCCAACTACGACAACAACTACAACAACCCCAACTACGACAACAACTACAACAACCCCAACTACGACAACAACTACAACAACCCCAACTACGACAACAACTACTCCAACCACAACTACCAAACCTCCACCGTAAGTATAGGCGCTGACTATATAGAAGTCACTCATGATGGACAAGCATGATAAATTATGACAAACAAAATGGTAAAAATCCGGAATTTCACCTCGGCTTCTCATTTGAATCTTTTTTGTCTGGATAAAATATTAGTGTATTGCTAAATAAAAAATCCAGACAATGTTCCTCAATCATGAATGAGTCGTTTATTGCATCGTTACGGACGACACAACCGTACCGATTTCCATTGCAAATAAAGTTAGCAAGTTAAAGTCAAAGCCTACGGATGCTAAACTGAAATTGATAATTAAACGCGTGGCTAATAAAATGAGGCACGAGAAGTAGAAAAGATACCTAAAGAACTCAAGCCATCTAATCTACAGGGTGATTCACGGAAACTTTGTGAAGTGGAAGCTCAATAAAAAACTAGCATAGTTTCGTTAATTAGTTCCGTTCAACCCGCTGAAGCATATTGACGGGTATGTTGGCGATGGCTTGGCTTTTTTTCAAGTGAGGACAGCCATTGTAAACAATCGATTTAAGATAACTTGCCTGAATGTGCTCACCCACGTAACAATCGATTTCCGATCTAGTACCCGACCTGCAGGACGAATGCGGAACCGAGTAAGGGAAAGCTCGCTGAACAGCGAAAATGAAACGGTCATCAGAACATTAGGCCTCGACAGCAAACGCACGCTGTTCGCTTGTCCAATGCATAGTGGCAACTGACAAGGCGGGACACAAACTTTATGACCTTGCCTTGTATATGAAAGACTCCTAGCACTTTTTCTACAATGGTTGCTTGGCGCGAAGTTCAAAACAGGAAGTTCCCGTTTGTGACTGATATGAAAGAAATTTTATGAAATGAAATTTTATTTGATGAAAGCTTTGGCCCCGAGCCGAAGCTGTGACTTGTAAAGTGGCAAATTCAAATAATGTAATAATTAAAGAAGGTTAAAGCTAAGTAAAGCGTTTATGTTGCAGTCCTGTGATTGACTTCAACTTCACGTCGGGTACCCAAGGCTGGGTGCTGGGGAGCAGCAATGGGGCAGCCTGGAGGCGGCAAAACACCAACGGGGAGTATGCCATTGAAGTTGTGGGGTCACCGGTTATTTCAGGTAAGGTAGCTCGAAAAAGTTTCGAATAAATAACATCTAAATAGTTTCTTCTGACATTTTGGTGCAGATGTCGCGTTATTTGAATGCTAAGTTGGGTCAGTGAATACTTACAATAACGGTCGTTCCTGGGATTATATAATGAAGATCATAGAACTTCGTGATTAACTCCAGTGAAGAAAGAAAATATTGATTCGTGGAAAACATTTGGAGGTTAACGAATTCTGGTAATCGAATATATGTGTACACTGCAGGTAGCAAAGAATTTGCAAGCTGGAAGTTGTGGATTGTATGAAGTATTTCTTTTCTTAATAGAGTTGTGAGGAAAGATGGAAGAAATAACCTTCATGTTGCCTGATAACTCCACAAGTTCATAATTTCCATATTTTGTCATTAGTATGCGAATCGATATTTCATATCAAAAATTTTAACTGATATTCATCATAATATTGGTTCGATCCTGCAAAACATGTACCTACTATTGATTTGCAGGTCGAAATGAGGTTATGATTTTTTTTTCAGATATATAGCAGATTTTGTTTGACCTAAGCAATAAAAAAACTGATATTTATAAATCACGACGTCGTGTCACTATATCTTTCTGTGTCGCTTTGTTTTTGCAGGCGTGGTTTTGGCCACGAGTCCGCGCTTGGTCGTGTGGGAGGAAGGCGAAGTGACCGTGTCTGTGACGTTTAGCATGGAAGGATCTTATGAGTATCCTGCATCCCTCAGAGTTCGACGCTCCTACTCCTACAAGTATGTTCCTACTCCTGCAATGACGCTCCTATAAGTAAGCTCCTACTCCTGCATGTATGTTGCTACTCCTGCAAGTAAGCTCCTACTCCTATAAGTACGCTCAAGCTTCTGCAAGTAAGCTTCTACTCCCGCAATTAAGCTCCTACTCCTAGAAGTAAGTTCCTATCATATATGTAAGTAAGCTCCTACTCACGCAATTAAGCTCCGACTCCTATAAGTAAATTCATACTCCCGCAATTAAGCTCCTACTCATATAAGTAAGCTCATACTACTGCAAGTAAGCTTCTACTCATGCAAGTAATCTCTTGTTTCCTACAAGAAAGCTTCTACTCATGCAAGTAATCTCTTGTTTCCTACAAGAAAGCTCATACTCCTATAGGTAATCTTCCTCCCCTACAACGTAAAGCTGCAAACAGTAAACTTTTTCTCATACCGCGAATAATTAGAGTTGAACCAAAAGATGCGAATAAAATATTATTAGTTTATGGGTGCTTTCAGGTTACTTTCGTGAAATTATTTCCACGCTAATGTGAAAAAACCTCTCGCAAAGCAAACGAGGACTTTTGATTCGTCTCAAACAATAAACGAGAATAGGAGTAATTTTTTATATACTCGCATACTCGTACTGAGAAGGTCATTCAGTCGCAACAAGGGGAAAGTTTTTTATCGTATATCGTAAGAAGCAAGGAAGCGTTTCATCAAAACTGACAATAGATTTAATGATGACAAGAGTCTTTACTTAAACATATAAGATGGATCAATTGCTCAGATAGTTTACACGCTTTGTTTTCATATCTTCCTTTGCGGTTGATGAGGGGATTTGTACAATATGTCGAAAATGAAGGAGCTCTTTTTACAACCGATGATAGATTTGTTTTGGAATGTATCTGCAGACCGTTGTTATATGCATCATTCGAAATCATTTGTTGCGGACTATTTTGTGCTTTTCAGCGCAACTGTTGTCTATGGCAGGATTAATTGAATACGCGTGCATCCATGCAGGGTTCATTTTTGCTTTATATTCCAGAAGACACGGTTTCTGAAAAGAAACCGGTACAAATACAAATTTATTCTAGTAAAAGGGTTATTGAATATACAAACAATATTAGAAAATATTCAAGCAATTACAAAGACTTTCTAAACAACGAAGAAATGTTCTAACATGAGAACTAGGCTCACCAAAATTCGTTCCTGATCTTAGTTCGGTCTGTACTCCGCAGCCGACAGAAGACGAATGAACGCAAAGGTTTCGCAAGACCACAAAATTAAGCTACTATTCTAAGACGAATGTTGCGATCACAACATCATTCGTTTCAAGAAAAAAAACTGTAAAACTAATTTCAAGCATCATTCAACCAAAAATGCTATTATTATACGCTACAAGTATGCTCTGATTAAATACAACCAAAATTAAGTATATTGTCTAAGGTGCACGATCTTAAATCAGAAGTACGGAAAGAATATATTTTTAGACGAAACTGAACCCCCGCACCAATTACTTTACAAAACTGCTTTATTTAAACTGTAAATTGATTCATGCTCAATCAATAATCCACAGTAACTTCGACCCTAATCCCGCAATTTCGATGGACGACTTCGGAACGAACGGTACCTCCGGTTACGTGACCTACACGGACACATTCAGCAACCTGGTGCCCGGCGAAGAGTTCTTCATTGTTTTGGGTGAGACTACTATTATTCAGGAGATTTCAACAAAACTGATTTTTCTGCGCACGTTTATTTCGCTGCACTTGCTGCGTCAGTTCATAATTTTTCGTTAGTCATAATATTGGAGATCCTGGGTAGATTTCGTGCCCATGACTATCGGAATGCTGACTGATGGCATTATGTTCTTGAATATGATCGCACCCTTTCAAAATTTAAAGGCGTACGCGACCCTACGTTAGGGCCGCCTGGGACTCGGGGAGCACGTAAATCAGCTTCTCTAATCCGCTTCGGCCCAAGGTTCGAAGAGCAAGCAGTGTCTGGGCAGCTGGCGAGCTCGGAATGACTCGGCTCGGCCAACCCTTGTCATACTGTCGTGCCACTATAAAGTCGGATATGAGATGCCATGAAGTTAATGTCATGATGTTTTTAGGTTTAATCGCATGAATTAATTACAAATATTGTCATTAAGACCCTTCTCATGCGTTCATCGTAATTAATTCATGCAACAAGGATGATTCTGATAAATAGCTGACAATTTTAGCGTATTGCAACGGTTTAGTCGAATAATTCAACAAAAAAATGAGCAGAAATTTTAGGAAAAACTCGTATATATCATGAAATGCAATTTACATTCTACAACGTAATGATATCATGACGATTAGATAATGATTACAAGATAATAATGCGATGACAACAATATTTCAGAGGGGTCGCTGGGCATTGACCAGAGCAACGTAATCTCTGTTACGGCGCTGCAGCTCGTGGGCGCCTCGCCGTACCCCGTGCCTGAGCAGGACTTCTTCGACTTCCATGGCGGCCTTGTGGGTCAGTAAACGGAATATGGAATAATTTGTAGAGTTCTTTGAGAGGGGGGATTTATTCTCCAAAGTGGGCATGTGTGTCTGTAAAAGGAAGACTATATAGTTTAATGAGTTCTTTATGAGGGGAGGGTGAATTACTTCACCAAAAAATGTGTTCCCTTCCATGGTGGGCTTGTGGGTCTGTAAATGGAAGACTAAATTTTTCCCTTATGTTATTAGCAGGGGAAAATAATTTCTTTCTTTTCCATTGACTTATTTTTTTTAATATAAAGTTTTTTTCCTTGATATATTTTTAGAGACCAGGTTTATTAATACACAAGTAATTGAAGAAAAATATCCGCAAAGCAATTTTTGTACAACGAATTTCAGAATACCCTTGAATTATTATGTATTTGCCGTTGACGGAATTGTGTAGGGAATTTGGAATTTTGAGGTAATGAGCCAGATGCCAATGATATTCAGAAATGCAACATATAACAGATTAGCCTTTGCTGATAGGTGCAATTTACTTACTCAAAATAAGAAAAAATAAACCCTCAGCACATTTTCCTATCGATTTACGCCATAGTACAAGATTATTCATTTCAAAAAACATTTCGTTTCATTCAAGACCATTTTTAGCGCATTGTCTCGTTTATGGAAAAAAAGGGCTATTGTGCTCGTCATATGTCCGTCCGTCCATCTGCCTTTCCGGTTTTCTATTCAACTCATTTGCCAAGTTTTTTTCTAAAAACCGAATAAAATTTTTTTATTCATTGAAGGCTGGTCACAAGGCAACATGGACGGTGGCAGGTGGCAGGTGGAAGACTACCGCAACATAGGCGTGACCATCCCCAAGCCCACTGGACTCAACGTTCTGTACGCCGACAGATTCGACATTTTCAGTGGTTGGTGAATAAAACTATTGTGAACTATATTAAATACTTCGTATCAAATACTTCGCAGGTTTCCCTAAGGTCTCAAGAAAATTAAAAAATTTTCTCTTATTAGTATGATTTGATTGAAAACTCATAATTATTGTCTGTAGTCTGTCTAACTAGCAGTCAAGTCAACACCATAACACGAGAGAGCAGCAGATTAACCATTGTTACCGGGCTGAGGATTCAAAAGGGCAATAAACAATTTCAGCAAAATTGTTCGAGCATTTTCTTTCTGGTTTTAACAGAATATTTTTTTTCTAATTTAGTTTACAAAAAAATTTTGATAGCAGAATAAAGTTCTTGACAAATTGGATTCATTGATCTTGCCATTGAGCAAACAAATTGCCCCTCATCAGTTAAATTTTATTAAATTAAGCGTGTGAACTGACTAGACAATATTACCTGGTGACCGTTACCTGTTCTAACAAACATAGATACTATAATTGTACTCAACCACCAGGCGTGATGACCATCGAGTCTCCTCCCCTCTCCACCATCACCGGCTCCAACAAGACAATCAGCGCCCGAGTCTCGGTTCGAGGCAGCGACGACAACCCAGTATCTTTGAGGTGATAGTAATAGTCATAGCGGTATCAGCGTTGGATAGGAGAAATATGGCCTGTTGATAATGCTTTATATCACAGAATACTCGCAGCTAGGTGGGGTTTCAAGCCCGCAATTTGCTGCTCCAATTCGACTGTTTCCAACGACCCAGCTACATAATCGATTTTGACTATAACTGTCACAGTAAGCAGGTATTAAACCCGCCACTCACTGCTCCAAATCTTGTTATGTGAACCTTAAAGCAATAACATAACATAACATAACATAGTGATGTCGGCTCTGAAGTGTAGGCCTGATGTGGCCTGTCGCCGATTCTTTTCCATTTCGTGCCTTGTTCATAGATCTAAACTCGTGTCATTTGACCGGATCTTTTCATGACTGGCGATAGTTTGAAGAAGCTACTAGACTTCCACCGGGTTCGATAAGGCTGTCTCTTATACACATCTAGATGTGTATAAGAGACAGGGTTTAACCAAGAGCCGTTTACGTATAGCCATATAACTCGCAAATGAAGGCAAAACGAAAAAATTGTAACAAGTTAAACATCACCGTTGCTGAGGTAAGGTATTAAAATACTAAATTTCGTTCAAATCTGTTCATTAGTTTGGAAGAAATTTCTTGATTACTGCGAAGTTAAGCACGTATTGCTGTTTCAATCACGAATGAAACTCGCGAACGAGGGCACAAGCGAAAAAATTTTCAAGAGCTAAACATAACCGTTCGGTACTTAGGACTGTAAATTCAAAATTTCGTTCGAATCTGTTCAATAGTTTGAAAGAAATTCCTTGATCACTGTGAATTTCGGCCCGTATTGCCGTATAAGTATGGCAAAATTTGGAAATTGGTCGAGAGACCGGCTGCGAGTCCGGCCGTTTATTTGTCGGAGACATAAACCCAGGGGTGGTTAAAAAAATATAACTCAGTACTCACTGCAGTGAGTGACAGAGAGCGCATTTTCTCGTCGACGAAAACGTGAAGTCACGGACGGACAGACAGATGGACAGACGGACATGACGAGCACAATAGTGCATAAAACGTGAAGTCACGGACGGACAGACAGACGGACAGAGAGACAGACGGACAGACATGGCGAGCACAATAGTGTATTTTTTTCCAGAAATTAGAAAATGCGCTAAAAACAGATCTGGGTGAAAAAACCATCGCTGGGGAGTCATGTGCTGCACGTGCTGTGCAAGTACAAATCGTTAAACAAACGGAACTTCTGACTTCGACTTCGGACTGTCGCCCCCCTATCGCCCCCCTATCACCCTCTTCTTCTTTACCGCCCCCTAAAATCTTTCCATCGCCCCTAGGGGGGCGATATCGCCCACTTTGGGAACCACTGGCTTAAACCATGGATGATGAAAAAAGTGCCTGTAACTGGCCGTGGACTAGCTCATGAACGTTGGGTCAGAATGTAATTTAAACTTTTCGAACAATCGAGACGATGAGAGTTGCTTGCGGTCTGTGAAGGCATTTTTAACTCTTCATTCTAATCAAATCATCAAAAATAACATCCTAGATATTAAATCCTCATCAATATTCATCGCGATTCGAAAAATTTAGATGCGTGTTTCACTCTTTCATTAATTGCTGTTGAAATGACTTTTCCAGCTATTTAACTACCCCGAACTTTCATAGTTTCATAGAAACATAATGAAAAATTTTATTTCTGAAATGCCTCTCTAGTTAAATAAATTCTTTTGAGCAATCTTGTATAAAATTAATCATGCACTATATGCGGTTCATTTCAAACTGTAAGAAATCAGATCATTAGATACATCATGCATTGAACTTATCTTCATTTGGCCTGATCTCCAGCAATATTCCGTTTTATAAGCTAATAACATTATAATAAGATGCGTATGAATGCAGTAGCTCTATACAAAGTAAAATTAAGTAAGTAAACTCTGCATGAAGTAAAAGTAGCTCTATATAAGTAGCGATTACGTTTCAATAGTTTTGGATGTCAAATCCTACGTTTATAGGTTCGAACACCAACGTACGTACGAACGAGTTCGATATTGCAGAATTGTTCATCTATATACAGTACATATGCAGCAACCGAAACATGGTAGTATAAGAAGCAGGCGGCCCCTCGTTTGTAAACAACCTTGAAGTACCACTCGAACTTTCGCTGATGGTTGTAGGGCGGCCCGCCCGTCAGCTTTCAGCCCACGGGCGCTATTTCGCCGAGATTTGGGAGTATCGGCCAATCCGCCGCTTTGCGCTTATAATCGCCTTCCACGGCGATAATCGCGCGCGCCACGGCCAAGATTTTTGACTGGGAAGCGCCAGAGTGCACTCATGCGAACAGCCAGTTAGTCATATAATAAACGAAATATCCTCAAGTCTTAACCAAAAATCACAGATGCGTCCTTCTATCACTTACATGTAACTAAATTTCCCCATTAGGGTTGACAACAAAAACTACACGCACTTAATTTTCATGACCGTTCGCTATATATACTCTAAAGCACGATATGCGAGAGCGCCCACAATTGAACATTATGCAAGGAGCTCAGCCAAGCAATTTAACAATATGAATGTCTATTTAGTATCTCATGCACAGGTGTGACCGTGCCTAGGTCTAGTCCTTATATGTCTTATTGCTATAACCGACTCACCTCAAATATAGGCCTACGTAATAAATTTCCATGGGCAAGACATTGTAGCGCCTGATTTCTTTCATCTTGAATGCCGGAACTTAGGGACAGTGATAAATTCTCTATGTCTGATAAACTTTAATAATTCTATTCTAAACATCCATTCGCATTAAAAAGAAAATGAACAAAATCAAACTATTACGCACTGAACAGAAACGAGTTTAAACAATGCTTCGCAGATGAAAGTTTTTTTTTATTTTTATTTTTGCTGAATTATGCCATGAATACGAAAGGTTGGCAGTGAGTATTGCTAGAAGGAGTCACTAAATCTGTCAGTTCTTCCTCCCGTGGGAACGAAATTAGGTGTCAACAATGTCGCCATATAGACACCCGCCACTACTCGCCACAAATTAATTTTAAAATAAATAAAATTGCCTTAATTTCAAATACATTAAAATTTATCTGCAGTTAATGGTTTACTGACGTATCAAAAAGTTGATTCAACGGTTGAAAACCATGAATTTTACATTGATTTATACCTAATTATGACTGTTCGCTCGAGGGCAGACGATTGAAAAGCGATAGGAATTCTGTTCAGACGTTCCGTGACGACAGCACGATCAAAAATTATTAGAGTTAAATATCAAATACTGTTAAATGTTGGCATATAAATATTGAATCTGCCATCTGTGTGAAACGAACTTCTTGCGTACATATTGTCAAGATAATAGACATAAAGAAAGCTGGACCCAAAAAGTTGACCTGCTTCAATCTGTTTAGCGTAGAGAAGATTTTAAGTAAAGTTCGTTGAAAAAATTATTAAATGCGAGGTCAGTCATAATTAACACAATCACACTGCTGAATTAGGAGTTGATGGTTGTGATAGTCACTCGGCGCTGTCAGGGCTATTCGCCGGATAGTCAAAAAAAGTCCCATTTAACCCCGTCTAAAAGACTTTTCACATCGTAAAGGAGCACTGGGCGGCGGACGGGCGTTGTCATGAATGCGCACTAATACCGATGTGAGCATTCCTCTGTTGTGGATAACGCCCGCAATTGTTGTCACGTACCGCAGTATCCTTCCGCAGTGATTATGGTCGCTGGCTCAAAAAACTCCTCAAGCTCAACACTTTCAAAACACTTCACGAGCATGACGTCGGTTCAGGGGTAAGGAGAGGCATCGCTATTAGCATTAATTAACTATGTATACGAGTCCACAGGTTTCATATGATAAGGAAAAAATAATTCCATACTTTCACGAAAACCAATTAACCACAGTATCCTTCCGCAGTTTCTTGTAGATATTACATTAGGATCGGATGATATTGCTCTTGAATGTAATGAATTACTTGATTTCAAGAAAGAAATTTACCGGTCAATGATACTTATTGGTCAACTGCTGCAATGTATTATAAATAATCAGAAATCGGTTTGCCCTATCGTTTTCTTTAATTTTAAAGCGTAATCTTTAATTATTGCTAAATACAAATCAATAGATAGTTAATTCCATGAATTTCTAAATGCATGATTGCTCTTTCATTGCTCCATTTCTGATTAAATACTTATTATTTCCATGAATTTAAACAAACATATCACCTATTTGACATCCCGTATGCGTCTTCTGGAACCGCGTGTGTATTTCATAGACCAAAAATTGCTATAGTGTCACCATTAAGTCGTATTTATCAAAATATCATTAGTATTTTGATGTATTTTATATACAATTTCTTGCGGCAAAATTTTACGTTCCTACGAAATGATCTTCACAAATAAACGTCAAGCTATTTAGTTAACAGAGCCCAATAATGTCCAGGTTTTCTCTTCCTTCATCCCATATCCAAATGAGAGACCCGCGCATGAAAGAGACTCCGTCTATTCTGCGTTTTGATGAAGTGTCTCAGATGAGCCCCAGCGTTACAATAAATAATGACTCAAAAGTTTCCCTGAGCATATAAGCCTTCCCAGCCAACGAGCGTGTAAGTAGGTCAACATCAATACGTTCCTCACGCGATAACGAATGATGCAAATGGGATGCCGTTGAAGGAGCAGAGATTAAGAAAAACTGTTATTCTTTGCTTTACAATTAAAGATTTTGGAATATTTCTTGCACTATCTCTTAGCTTATGAATGAAAAATGTTTTTCTACGAGCATTATTAATCACGATTCCGAGTTTTCTAAGAATGCTCTTTGTATTCAGCGATTTACAGAAAAAGGCATTGAAAGTAAATCACGTATTAATTTGATTACTCTTCTCTTCCTTATTGCGTAGGAAGGGGGTTGGGACGTTTTTTTTCACATTGGCATGCTCAGCCAGAGCTGACCCGGATGCGTGGACGAACCCTAAACATGAGCAGCTCAGTGCCCGCCATAATCGGGACCAGGCTCTCGTAGCTGTTTGACCAGGGATCGAAATGTTGACCAAAAAG